TTTTATAATCTTTTCCAAGTTTGAACTTTTGATTGTTTTGTGAACATAATGTTTATTAGCATAAATAAATGTACCGTTGCTGTATTTTTGTGACACTTGTGAATCATTTAAATGTTTTCTTCAGGGGACTTATAAATTCATAGTGAACCTTTGAGATAGAAAAAGATTATATATTTTTAAGAAACTCTTGAAGCATTTCAATTAATTTAGTAGATCTTTATTGTTAATAAGCATACAAAATTTTTAAGAGACTTGCCAATCTGTACTAATTCTGATCACTGATCAGAATTAATACAAATTTCATTTGCTATAGTAAATTAGGGAAAACTTTTTTGGAGGCTGTTTAGTTGTGGTTTTATAGATGAATGATGAGAATACCCTTGAAAGAAACTGGCTCACGAAGAGAACTGATTGCCCACATCAGAAAAAGACAGTCTACATTCTTTGGTCATGTGATGAGGAGAAAACTGGAGTACATCGTGAGGGTAGGAAAGTTGAAGAGGAGGAGAGGCAGAGGGAGTCAGAAAGAACAGATGCTGGACAGTTTGACATCATGACAAGGAAGATCATCTGTGTCAGAGTTGATTGAAAGTACATGAGACAGAAGGTTGTGGATAAACTGACAACCAACACCACTCAGAATGGACTTTCAGAAGAAGAAGATCATGTGTTTGGTGAGCTAAGAATATTAACATTTGTAATGAATACATCTGTCTTTGACTTTGAGGATCTTTAAAGTAACAAAGCTTTGTGTTATACAAATACATGTGTTTCTGTGATTTTCGTAAATGTTACGTTATTTATTAAATAATTCAACAGTGCTTACAATTAAAAATGGCAGCAAGTGATGCAGAAATACTGTTTCCCCGGAAATAAGACCTAATCTAAGAATATGCCTTAACATGATATTTTAGAATGCTCATAATGTAAGTCCAACTGCCAATATTAGCCTCACCGTAGATTGTGAACCAAACAAATGTTGTTCGTCCACTTCACATGATTGATTATTGTACTACATATAGGTCTCTCTCCTTCTTAGTGTGAGTATGTTTAACAGAAAGAAAGAAAAATAAAGAGAGAGAGAGAGATGTATCAGTGTGTGAGAGAGAGAGAGAGAGAGAGAGAGAGAGAGAGAGAGAGAGAGAGAGAGAGAGAGATGTATCAGTGCGAGAGAGAGAGAGAGGGAGGGAGAGAGGGAGGGAGCGAGAGAGAGAGGTGTATGGGTATGAATGAGAGAGAGAAAAGAACATTTTTAAAATCATTATTGGAGATTATCATTGTGTAAGGTGTGAATGTGGAGAGAGTATGGGGGGGGGGGGGGGGGGGGGGGGGGGGGGGGGGGGGACTTTTTCACCCTTATTCGCGATTATCAGTGACTGACTGAGGTGTGTGTGGGGGATTGAGAGAAAGAAGTATATATTATCTATATTAATAAAAATGTTAATTTTCCGAGTTTTTTATATCTAAACTCGGAAACTACTTAACTGACTGCTTTTAAAATTTTCACACAAAGTTGCCTCTGACTCAAAGTGTGATTTTTTTTGGGTCATAAAATCGCACAAACCACGAAGGATGTAGCTCCAGCACCGGTCAATTCATTATTTGTTTCGTTGCCCGCCTAGATTTGTTTTCAATAGATTCGCCACCCTTGACTGTGTAGCACCGAACTTCACATTATTATTATATACTTTCATTTCTACAAAATGCTTGAGTATTTAGTAGCGCAGTTGGTTTTAAGCATTTCGCTTTTTACTCGGGTGATAGGGGTTCGATTCCCCGCTGGGTGATATAATTTTTTTTGGGGCCCCTAACTGGGTGGCTGCCACATTTTGTTGTGGTTTATAGCTAGGCTGGAATATCTACGCTTTTTTCCATTCAATTTTGGGGTTTACAGCTAGCCTGCGATAGCAGCGACGTGATGCTCAATGTTCATGTCACGGGTAATATGCGTTCGCCCTTGAGAGGGCAGTTGGCACGTTGTGTTGTGGTTTACAGCTAGGCTGCAATATCTGACCTAACGTCTTCAGTCTTCACTCTTCGGTAGTAGAGTTGTAAGTATTTCACCCTTCACGCGAATGACCGGTGTTCAATTTCCACATGGTGCTAATTTTTCTTTTTCCTCTTAAGGGGCGACTGGCACGTGTTGTAGTGGTTTACAGCTAAGTTGCGACATCTGACCTTTCGCCCAGTGCCAACTCCTCTGGCTAGAACGACCTGTACAGACAGTAGTGACCGTTTTGTGTTGTTGTTGTGACGGTGGTGGTGGTTGTGGTAGCAGTAGTACTGGTACTCGATGGGTTATGTGGTAGCTGTTACACTGGCACATTTACTTCTCAGTACAGATTATTGCTACCCATTTTTGTCTGGGTGGCCAAGCTAAATTTAACAACAATATTTTGTCAGGTGATGACTTTCCCATGCTTTGTAGAGGATTATTTTACAGTTCTCATTTCATAACTATTTCTATTTTTACAATGTCCCCACATAATAATGTTTCAATCATTATTTTTAAAGTTATCATTTCCTAACTATTTCTATTTTGATAATTTCGCCAAGTGATGATTTTTTTATTCCTTCGGAGAGGGAAAATATTAGTGTGTGTGTGTGTGTGTGTGTGTGTGGGGGGGGGGGGGGGGTATGCCAGACAGTGTTAGCTGAGAGAGCTTAAAACTTTATTTTCAAGTTCTCATTTCTTAACTATTTCTATTTTTATACTTTCGCCAGGGATGATTTTTCAATCCTTCGAAGAAAGAGATATGACTGGGTGGAGGGGAAAGGGAAGGGGGGTGAGAGTTATGACAGACACTGTTAGCTGAGAGCTACTTTCTTTCTTTTCCATTTCACCATTCGGGGCCACAGCAACGCGTGGCAGGGCACAGCTAGTTTATACCAATATTGTAGATTATCTTCTGGGTGATGATTTCCTTACACATATCTCCACAATAAAGGTTGGCTATAGTGTGGCCACTTTTGTCTTTAGGAATATGACATGGTGAGACCTCAGTCTCATTCACTAAACTCTTAGCCACAGAGCCAACTTTACGTGTCTCACAAAAACTGAGGGCAACCCAGTCTCACGCTAATAATGTTTCAGCGTTTTCTAGCATAGAAAGAAGCTGACTGATGGATTGGTTATTCACATTTTGTCAAATTTCGAACTAAGATGTGAGATTACACACCAATGGCAGTATATGAATATGCGTGTTATTCAGATCGATTCAAGAATCACTACTCTTTTGATACCCCACCCATCTCCACTTATATCGCTGTTTAACGTTGACTCATTTAAATTCCTCCCCACACTACCCACTCAACTCCAGTTCAAACACCAAAAGTGTAATTTCTAATTTGCCGACACATTTTACTTTTTTTTTTCTTCTTCTTTTCATTGTCTTCTTTAACTGATTTCATTAGTAGTCTTTGCAGAATACGAATTTGTAATAACATTTGATTCCATGAAATACAGTGTATTATTCTGCACAGTAATACCTCTAGGACCTCGATTTTCGGCTACCCAATTTCATTGCCCTGGTTTCCGTGGTTCGTCGTGAGAAGAATGATGATGATGTATCTCTTTTCATTGTATACATGCTAGACCAGATGACATCTCTCCCCTCTCAGTTTTCACGGGCTTGGGACCGTCACGCGTCGTCACACGTGGCCTGATTAAAAAGATGAGAGCCCAGTACGGGTTCAGATGGCATGACCATCTTGTGTTAGATTAGTAATAACATGCGAATAAAAGGTTAGTCCGCAAGCGTTAAAAATTAGTGAACATGCGACATCGATGTGAATACGTTAATACATTACATTAGTATAAAACGCTAAATGATTTTTATAGGTTTGCTAATATACACAGGGTGTCACCATTACTAAGTGGTTAAGCCGCTTGCTATACGCTCTGAAGACCCTGTTTCTGATTCACTGACTGCGTCTTTCGCATTACGAGTGCAGCTGTTACGGGTATCCCTCTGGATCATTGCTAGAGCTGCGGAGGTAGCCATTTGCCTGTCGCTCTCTGCATACATCTAGCCGTTTTCCTAAGAGAAACCGAGCTATGACGGATGAAACCACACGAAATTAGATCGACATTTTTGACTTTATGCCTTTCATATATAAAACGCGTTTTTCAAAAAGACGTTAGTAATACGAAGTATCATGAATAAAGAAAAGAACAAGTGCATCCAAAATTCAAGAGCTGAATATTAAAGAAGGTTCACGTTTAAAGACGACAAAACACAGAAAATTGAAACATCTTGGTCACTTGAAACGTCATGAAAGTTTAGAGAGAACAATAAGGGAGGTGCATATGCCTGGAAAAAAGAGGAAGAGGAAGACCAAGAAGAATATGGGTGCAGGGTGTGGCAGATGATCTCCAGATGGGTGTATCGGATGCGGGACATCTTGCTTGTGATCGAGAATTTTTCCGGAGGGTTGTTACGGGACCAAGGATCTGCAAGGGCATGCTCCTGACTGAATATGGAGTAAATAAAATGATTATTAACATATTTTATTTAAACATATAATAATGACGCTTTGATTTCCTAGTGACCATTGCAAAATTTCCAAGGTGTCATAAAACAAAATTGTTTAGCATTTAGTACAGTAATACATAAATAACGTCGTTAGTATTAAAATTAAAAGAAAACCGTGTTGACGTTTCTAGCTACCGACTAAAACTATTTTAATATTTACGCTACCCAAACGTTCTTTCCCATTTAATTAACAAATACACTTTAATGTTTATATTTTTGAAACCCTTCTTGAACCTGTGAAGTCGTAATTTTTTAAATGTTTATTTTATTCACTGTCAGTCCTTAACATTCGATAAAACTGACTTAAAACAACAACAACAACATTAGAATAGAAAGTAGAGATGCAAGTTATAGTTAGTAATGACTAATGCTAGAAAAATGTTAATTTGTTTAGTAAGTGAAGACGTGGAAATTCCAAAGTTAAAAAGGAAATACATACTTACGGGCTGTCAATGAAATGCATACTCACAGGCGGTCAATAAGGCCCTTGTAGATATCACAGTCGTACATGTTGGCCAGTATTGACGCAGCTGTACGCCTTATGTCGGGGTCATGGTGTATGGAATTGGCCAAACACCAACCTTGAGGTTCAGGAGCAGCAATCATCATCTGGGTGTCATCGAGACACTCGTAGACTTTGTCTGATGTTGGCTCTGTCTGGAACATCATGCACCAGAGAACTACGCCCAGGGAATACATGTCCAGTTTGTAGGGATCCACCGATGTGCGGCACAATATTTCTGGAGCAAAGAAACACATTGTGCCACCAATGTGTTTCGTAGAGATCGAAGTGCGGCCTGGAGGAATGAGAAAGGATAATCCAAAATCTCCAAGAACCGGGTTATTGTGCGCATTGATGAAAATATTGTCAGGCTTAATATCGCTGTGTACTATTCCCTTTCTATCATTGAGATAACGCACAGCACACGTCATCTGGATGAAGTACTTGACGCACATCTCTGGGGACATGGTATCCAATTTGGAGGTCAAGGTTCCGCCAGTGCAGTAGTCAGTACAGATGACCAAGTATTCCGGACAAATGGCAGATATAGTCAGTCTGGTGACGTGAGGATGAGACAGTCTGTGTAAAATGTCTACCTCCCTGTCAAACAACCTCTTGTTCTTAACTCCTCCATCAGCAGTCAGCAACGACAATATCTTCGCGGCTCTCTTTTTTGACGGATTTCGACGTGAGGTGGCAAGCACAACTTCGCCACTCATTCCACTGCCCAGGACTGGACCGCGAGAAAACCGATATGTTGCAAAGAAATCCCCGGGTAGACTTACCAGCCAAGGTGAATTCATTTCTGAACACAAACACAATACACTCCAAGTGTGAAAATAATCCAAATGAGAAAACACACAAGTAAGAATATACGCACGATCTTACCACAAGCACTTTTAAAAATGTTATGGTGAAATGGGGCGCCAAAGTCCTGGCTTATATATAGTAGTAGGCAACCTAAAGCCTGGCTTTGTCGGCGTCCTCGATACGCCCTTGGTTAACTGTTACAATAGATAATAATTGAATACTAGATCTCTCAACAATTATTAACATGCGCGTTTCTTGTGATCTTGGCCGCTCCTAGTATATCGGCTACCGCTTTGATGTGACCGCCAAAGATTTAGCCCGATGATGAGTCCAGGTGTCGGCATTTGTGAAGATTTACGGCGTAACTATAAAGTCCTTACGCAATTATCACCACAGGTAACCTACTTTTGATGCAGCCAGCTGAGCCGACTTTAAAGTCTCCGTCGCGGCATGTCGATAGATAAATATTTTGAGCATATCAAAGACAGGCGGTGGCCCACAAAGAAATCCAGAATGAAACGTCTGGTTTTTATTATTAGGTTGTTTATTGCAAAGAGTAGTTTTCAGACTGTTAAAAAAATTGTGCGCACTAAGCGGTTGACTAGTGTCATCATCAGGTGCCTTGCCGACTGGCGTGGTCGATCATGCCTCTCCACAATCTGCGATCTCCTGCGGCATGTATCAGTTTGTGGGCCGACACATCTCCATGCCATGCAACAAGACTGTCAAGAATCTTCTCTAGTTGTAAATCATGCCTCAAAGTAAATCATGACCAGTGTAGATCTTGTTAATTTTATATTTTTACTGAATAAATTACCTGATTAGTTCCACGATTTATTTAACCATTGGTATCATCAACAATAAAGCGGTAATTATTGTAATAAATCTTCACTGAGACCGGCCCTCATCATTATCATTTTCACATTGGCCATCAGTAATGAAATATTCACTTCTGTTTCAGCTTATATCCTCTTCTTGTCGTTTTTGACACAGAATGTTTTCATAAGAGACCTCTACTATTGTCGGTCTGCTGATTTTCTGCCTATAGTATTCACGTAATTGTACATTCTTTTATTACAGTTGCTAATGTTTCCAAGCATAACTATGAGTGCAGAGAGACAGATTATTAATAGCATATTCCTTCCAACATTAAGCTACCAGTGCCAAACATGGATACTATCTGAATCCCATATACGCAAAATCACCACCTGCGAGATGAGATGCCTGAGAAAAGCAGCCCACCTAACCATTCGAGATCGAGTGAATAATGAAACTATCAGGCCAACTGTGGGAACGACACCGTGTACTAGATTCATCGAGAAACAGCAGATCAAGTGGTTTGGCCATCTCGTTAGAATTCAGCAAGATCAATTACCATCACAAGCACTACATCTCAGAAGATCAACTACAAGAGCAAGAGGACGGCCACCTCTATCTTATTCCTTTGATAACATTTGCCAGTGATGAACACATTGTTTTATTATTCGATTCTTCATTTTTGATCTTGTTAGGCAAGAATGTTTACAATCGACTCCACGTCTTGGAGTGGGGTGCCATTAAGAGAAATCACATTACTGTTTGCCTGATTTATTCTCATTATCTTTGTCTTTCCTTTATGGATTTTCAGACCAAGCTGCTGTGATCTCGCATTAAGTATATTTAATTTATCTTGTATCTGATTCCGTGAATGGGACAGAAGGGCAATATCATCAGCGAAGTCCAGATCATCAAGCTGTTTTGTAGGGGTCCACTGAATTCCATTCTTGGTGTTAGCAGTTACTGTTTTCATAGTCCGCTTCCCCCATGAAGAACTCGACTTCAGTCTTATATGTTCCTTATAAGTGATAATTTCCTGTGGGATTCATAGTGCCCCATCAATTCCAGGAGAT